AAAAAAAAAAAAAAAAAAAAAAAAAATGTGGTTTGCAATACTGATGCACCATTAAAATTTCTCTAAATAGGCCAAGTGTGGTGGCTCACACATGGAATCCCAGCACTTTGGGTGGCTGAGGCGGGTGGATTACCTGAGGTTGGGAGTTCAAGACCAGCCTGACCAACATGGTGAAACCTCGTCTCTACTAAAAATACAAAATTAGCCGGCCGGTTTGGCACATGGCTGTAATCCTAGCTACTCGGGAGTCTGAGGCAGGAGAATCGCTTGAACCTGGGAGGCAGAAGTTGCAGTGACCCTAGACTGCGCCATTGTACTCTAGTCTGAAGACAGAGTAAGACTCCGTCTCAAAAAAAAAAAAAAAAAAGGAAACAAAAACAAAAACAAACTCTATTCTCTACATCAATATAATATGTGACTGTGTACTCACAGAAGGCAGGTATTTTGAATAACTGGCATGTGCTCCACGGCAGTAAAATTTCAAAGAAAATGAAGTGCAATCATAAACAGAAGATTCTAATGAGAAATTTTTAATAAAGAAGCATTTAAAAGAAACTAATGAGAAACTTTTAATAAGCATTTAAAAGAAACTAGAGACAATTTTTTTTTTTTTTGGAGACAGAGTCTCGCTCTGTCACCCAGGTTGGAGTGCAGTGGCACGATCTCCGCTTACTGCAACCTCTGCCTCCCGGGTTCATGCCATTCTCTTGCCTCAGCCTCCTGAGTAGCTGGGACTACAGGCGCCTGCCACCATGGCTGGCTAATTTTTTTTTTTGTATTTTTTGTAGAGATGGGGTTTCACCATGTGAGCCTGGATAGTCTCTATCTCCTGACCTCATGATCTGCCCACTTCGGCCTCCCAAAGTGCTGGGATTACAGGCGTGAGCCACTGCACCCAGTCTGAGGTTGGAAAATTGCTTCAGGCCAGGATTTCAAAACCAGCCTGGGTTATGTAGCAAGATCCAATCTCCAAATTAAGTGCCTTTAGGAGAGCTTTGAGATCCACGGAGGGAGTTGTGAAACTGCTAATGCCCAATTCTGAGGAATGCTCCTTTTCAGAAGGCAGGTGGCAAACTACAGAACTCCTGTTTTCCAGTGTAGACCAGGAAATGGCCTACCCAACTTAGTCTTCTGATAATTCTGAAATTACCCTGTAATCATCTCATACTTTTCCCAGCCACAGTCTGTAAGAGGTCACACCCTTTCAGAGGCCTTGAGAAAGGTACCCACTTATAGCCATGCAGCAGGCCTGCAGACCTTGGTCCCTGAAGCAGTTCAATGACTCAGTTTCAGATACCTGAGCCACAGTTCACAGCCAGTTCTGCCTATGTTAAAGCCCACTCAGTGACCTGGAAAAATCCTCTCTGATACACAGTGAATGCCATACTCATCCACATTCTTAAATAAGACTTACCATATACAGACCTGACTGCAGAAACCTGCCCTAGTGTCTGCCCTACAGGTCAAAGTCTTGAGGGAAATTCAGTCTGTCCAAAAAATAAAATGTGAATTACAACTACCCAAACCCCTTGTAAGAAGCCAACTGAAGGTGGACCCCAGTGCAGACCCAGCAGCCTTATGACCAAGCTACATCCCCTTTCCACTACAAACCCAGAGGGCATCTCATGACCGTGGGGGCCCAATAAAAGATCTTTATCTTCTGAAAACAGGTTATAAAAACTTGAAGAGGTGTTTGCTTTTTCAAGTTTAAAGACACTAATACAAAACTGCATTTTGCCTATTGTCAATGCTTCTATTTTAACAAAGAACATTAAGTATGTGGCAAAAGAATTAGTCAAAAAAATGAAAAAGAGCCATTGAAACTGAAGACAAGGGCCGGGCATGGTGGCTCACGCCTGTAATCCCAGCACTTTGGGAGGCCGAGGCGGGTGGATCACAAGGTCAGGAGTTCAAGACCAGCCTGGTCAACATACTGAAACCTATCTATACTAAAAATACAAAAATTAGCCAGGCATGGTGGCATGTGCCTGTAGTCCCAGCTATTTGGGAGGCTGAGGCAGGATAATCGCTTGAACCTAGGAGGCAGAGGTTGCAGTGAGCCGAGATTGCGCCACTGTACTCCAGCCTGGGCAACAGAGTGAGACTCTGTCTCAAAAAAAAAAAAAAATCTTATTTACGACAGTATTAAAATATATTTCTGAGAAGAAATGTAATCAAAGAGGTAGAAAATCTTTACAATGAAAGATATATCAATGAAAGAAATTAGAAAAGACACAAATAAATTGGAAATATTTCATGTCTATAGATTGAAAGAATAAATACTGTTAAAGTGCCATGTTGGCCAGGCGCAGTGGCTCACGCCTGTAATCCCAGCACTTTGGGAGGCTGAGGCAGGCAGATCACGAGGTCAAGAGATGGAGCCCATCCTGGCCAACATAGTGAAACTCTGTCTCTTAGTATACTAAAACAAAAAATAGCTGGACGTGGTGGTGAGCTCCTGTAGTTCCAGCTACTTGGGGGGCTGAGGCAGGATAATAGCTTGAACCTGGAAGGGAGAGGTTGCAGTGAGCCAAGATTGTGCCACTGCACTCCAGCCTGGCGAAAGAGTGAGACTTCGTCTCAAAATAAAAAGTGCCATGTTAATGGCACTTAGATCTACAGATTCAAAAAATGGCACTTGATCTATAGATTCAATAAACTCCCTATCAAAATTCCAGTGGCGTTTTACAGTAATGAAAAATACAAGTCTAAAATTTATATATGAAACTACAATAAACTTTGAATAGTGAAAGCACTCTTGAGAAAATAAAAACAAAGCTGAATGACATCATACTTTATAATTTCAAACTATATTTGAAGACTATAGTAATACAAACAGGATGGAATGTGCAGAAAAATGAACAAAAACCTACTACTCTCATACATTGCAGAGGTGATGCAAAAAGAGAACTTAAAAAATAGTTTAACATAGAGTTTCTCAAAATTATGCAGATATCTGTGTGTCCCCCAAAACAATGGAAAAGCACTCAGATTGTGCAGTCTCTTATATGCCATTAAGAAGACTTTGGCTCTCACTCTAAATTAGAAGGCAGATCACTAAAGGGAAAGCAGAGTCCTAAGAGAACTTAAAAGCATAAGACAGAAGACGCTCTTATGTGAGAGCAAAATAGAAAAACTCGGCCAGGTGCTGTGGCTCATGCCTGTAATCCCAGCACTTTCAGAGGCCAAGGTGGGTGGATCACCTAAGGTTAGGAGTTCAAGACCAGTCTGGCCAACACACAGTGAAACCCCGTCTCTACTAAAAAAAAAATACAAAAATTAGCTGGGCATGGTGGCGCACACCTGTAGTCCCAGCTACTTGGGAAGCTGAGGCAGAAGAATCGCTTGAACCCTGGAGGTGGAGGTTGCAGTGAGCCGAGACTGTGCCACTGCACTCCGGCCTGGGTGACAGAACTAGACTCCATCTCTCAAAAGAAAAAAAAAAAAGAAAAGAAAAACTTGGGCTTTCCAGAAGTAAGCTGAGATTGAGACTGTGCCACTGCACTCCAGCCTGGGTGACAGAGTGAGACTCCATCTCTCAAAGGAAAAAAAAACAAAAGAAAAGAAAAACCCAGGCTTTCCAGAAACTATTTCCTTTGGAACATAGCTTCCCAAATCACATTATTAAGGATTAGTTTTTTCTTTGACCTTTAAACCGTTCATCTATGTTATCTGTTATATTCACTTTCACTCTCACCTACCTGGTTTGGCCACCATCCTATGTCTCTTTCTAGTCCAAGGCTCTTTTTCTTGCTCCAGACAGGTGATCAGATCTGGCTTAGAGACAGCAATACCTGTTTTATTGAAAATAAATAACATAAATCTTGCTCATATTCTCTAATCACCAACATGGCAATGTGCTCAGTAAAGAGGGTGAAATAGATTCTTGTAAATCAATTCCAAAATATTGATTTACAAAAGAAATTTCTAAATATTTAGAAAATATTTTAAATTTGTTAGTTCTTAATTTCACCGTCCAGTCCAGTACAACAAATCAAAAATTAGTGTTGGTAATTAGATTTTAAAGTGTGGGCAATAATATTTTATGCCACTAAACTTCTGGAATTACCACTCTAATCTAGAGTGAAGAATACAGATTAGCTCAGGAACGCAGAAAGTTCAGGTCAAGATGAAACAGCTTAAAGAAATTCTTTTCTACAGAGATGAAACCCTAAGATTTTTATAAAAACAGGGATCTGAAACTCACTTATGCAAAGCATAAATTACCTAAAAACATTACACAAAAAAGAAAAATTCAATCTTTAGGATATAATAGGAATTCTGTATTGAAGTTATCCTCACCCAAGAAGACCAGGTTTCTGTAGTTCTCTAACATCACATTCCTATATAAATTCTGCTGTATAGTGTCCAGGCATTGCCACTCCTCCAGAGAGAATTCTACGGCCACATCCCTAAATTTCAATGGTTCCTGAAAAACACACACACACATACACATACATATTTACAAAGTGGCCATGGAAAGAATTTATAATTTGACTCAAGGTAAAATAAGAAAGTGAAGAGAACTGGTTCTGACTTACATAAATGACTGAAATTATCCAATAAAATAATTTTTTTTACACAGGAACATTCTCTGATCTATTCTCTAACTATGAGAAAAGAAAGTCGCATTAGATCTATAACACCAGACCTAAATAAACTGCCAGTCAGAACGGTAATTATTAAAAAGTCAAGAAACAATAAATGCTGGTGAGGCTGTGGAGAAATATGAATGCTTTTACAATGTTGGTGGGGATGTAAATTAGTTCAACCATTGTGGAAGACAGTGCGGTGATTCCTCAAGGATCTAGGACCAGAAAAACCATTTGACCCAGTGATACCATTCCTGAGTATATACTCACAAGAATATAAATCATTCTACTAGAAAGACTAATATGTTTATTGCATCACTGTTTACAATAACAAAGATATGGAACCAACCTAAATGCCCATCAATGATAGAATGGATAAAGAAAATGTGGTACATACACAACCATGGAATACTATGCAGCCATAAAAAGGAATGAGATCATGTATTTTGCAGGGACATGGATGCAGCTGAAAGCTACTATCCTCAGAAAACTAACACAGGAACAGAAAACCAAACACTGCATGTTGTCACTCATTAGTAAGAACTGAACAACGAGCACTCAAACACAAGGAGAGAAAGAGCATTAGGATAAATAGCTAATGCATGCCGGGCTTAAAACCTAGATGATGAGTTGATAAGTACAGCAATCCACCATGACACACGTATACCTATGTAACAAACCTACACGCTCTGTACTTGTATCCCGAAACTTAAAGTAAAATAGAAAAAAATACATATTATAAAAGACTATACTTAGAAATAAATAACAAAAATTTTTCAATTTTTTTTTTTTTTTTTTTTTGAGTTGCAGTCTCGCTCTGTCACCCAAGTTGGCGTGCCATGACATGATCTTGGCTCACTGCAACCTCTGTCTCATGGGTTCAAGCAATTCTCCAACCTCAGCCTCCAGAGTAGCTGGGATTACAGATGTCCATCACCACACCTGGCTAATGTTTGTATTTTTAGTAGAGACAGGCTTTCACCATGTTGGCCAGGCTGGTCTCAAACTCCTCACCTCGTGATCCACTTGCTGTGGCCTCCCAAAATGCTGGGATTACAGGCATGAGCCACCTCAACCGGCTTATAAAAGTTATAGTTAAAAGTGCTGAGATACAACAAAAGTAAAAAGAAAAAAACTTATGTTACAGGGCACTGTGCCTGAGATAACACATTATGTAATTTAATTTTTATAACACCCTGGGAGCTGGTACTGTTTAATAATTCTCAGGATTTAAAGTCCAGCATTTTTATTTCTTCTGTTTCTCTGTCATTGATTTTTTTAAAAAATATAAACAATAAAAGCTAAATATAGACAGAAATGCAGAAAGAATTTAATGTATTTTAGAAAAATTTATATTCTTTATGTTTACTTTTTTGTGACTTGTGGAGCAACTCCTAGATCTGTAGGAATAGAAAACAAGTTGCTAGATAGAATGCAAGTACTAGTTTCAATAAAAAATTATAACCCTAAAATACATACTTTATTTTTAAAATTTATTTGCTTTTGTGTTTCGGGAATTGTAAGCACCAGCTCTAGAAAGGCAGCAGAATTCACCAGTCAAAACTCTGATCTCCACTAATCAGTTCTATGAGGCAACACCTCAGGGTAGGGCCAGACCTATATAAGGCCTCCAAAAAGGTGAACCTGAGCAGAACTGGGGCAGGGAGTGGATTCTATGTAGAATTCTGTTCTCTATGCCACTGGGATATTTCCAGTTCTGTTTTTCCTAAACTGACCTTAAAAAAAAACTTAAATCTCAGAGTTTGTATAATTTTAACCTTTCTTAGACACTGCCCTATCAATTATATGTAACATATACTAATAAGCAATTTAAACAAATTTATAAAGGTTTTCTAGGGTAATTTTATTAAAAGACAAATATGTATTAACAAGGTAAAAGAAATAAATATCCCTTCAGGTGATGACATCACAAGTCACAATTATATAAAGAAAGTGTCACAAATACAGCCCAAGTTTTCTGCACACATCTGTTTATTGTACCAATTATATGATGTTTAATTTAACCATTATCCAGCTGTTAGTCTAGACTAAAAGCTCCTGGATTGTAGGGACCATGACTGCTTCATCTATTTTTCTAACGGCCATATGAAAAGAAAACAATTTAGCCGGGCGTGGTGGCACATATCTGTAATTACAACTACTCGGGAGGCTGCCTCGAACAGCCTGGCCTCGTGGTCTGCCCGCCTCAGCCTCCCAAAGTGCTGGGATTACAGGCATGAGCCACCGCGCCAACCCTTTTGACTCCCATACATTTTTTAATAGAAGGAAAGAGAAACTGGGAATGCCACGGGCCAAAGCTCTTCCCACTCATGAACCTGGCATCCGTCTGGATTCTTCCCTGACGACCCTCCCATGGTCCCTGCACAACCCGGGAGAGACCCGGCGTTGCGGGTGCGGAGCCGCCCAGAGAGAGCTGCAGGCCAGCACGCAGTCACTGACCAGGGAAGAGACAGGACGCCCGGGGGGCTGGCTGGCTGCGCAGCCGCCATCTTATGGTCGAAGGGGACTAAGGCTGACCCGGGCGAGAACTCAGGGCGCAGATTGTGGAACTGACTGCGGCGAGGTCTGCGTCTCGCCATAGCCCCTTCCCCTCTCTCGGGATGTCGTACCCGGCATTCTCACCATTTCTAGGTTTCCGGGGACCCTGGCGTCTTAGATATGGATCTCCAATACCTGCACGTCACGGAGCCACAGAGACTCGGCCTCTAGAAACAGGGGACACAGAGCAGTGAAAGCAAAACCTGGAGCTCCGGCTGCAGAGAGAGACAAAGGCCCCGCCAAACCCGGAAGCCGCCCTGTCCGCTCTACCTGCATTCCTGATTGGACAGTTCCCAGCCCAGCGTCCCTGATTAGATAATAAGTAAAACCCCACCCCCTCAGGTCCTGAATGACAGAAGATGTGATCAGATGCTCGGCTGAATGAAGACTAACAGCCTAAGTTGCAGCCTTTTCAGACAGGGCTCCCTCCCAGAGCTGAGCTGGGCCCACCCAAAAGGGCATTTGCCTTTAACCTTCTGTGTAAGGTCACATGCATTTCAAATAATAGACTAGATAGCTATTCAAAAATAAATACATATATAATAACGATTATTTTAAAATTTCAGCTTTTATGACCGTCCTGGTTTCTGGCAGCCATAGTCCCTACAGGTGCGTGCCGCCATGCCTGGCTAATTTTTGTATTTTTAGTAGAGACGGGGTTTCACTATGTTCAGGCTGGTCTTGAACTCCTGACCTCGTGATCCACACCCCTCAGCTTCCCAAAGTGCTGGGGTTACAGGTGTGAACCACCGCGCCTGGCTATATATCAGGTTTTTAAAACCATAAACAGACACAAAAGCAGCCACTTTGATTGAGGAGAAAGAGGGAGCCTAAAGCAGCTGACCCTCAAACAGCTCCACCAAGCCCCAGGCCAGGCCATCTGAACCCTCCAAGGCCACATGATAGTTACAGAGGATGACAGTTCCCACAGGTGCTTATCAAACACTGTGTTAGCTTCTCAGTCACAGAGTCTCAGAATTTCTCCTTGCCAATACTCTGTGAGGGGAGGCCCTGACTCACTAGAGCACAGGAGGTTCCTAAGCTCTTCCCAGGAAATGGTTAACAAAGTGTGGAGGTGGGGGAAAGCCCAGTCAGAACAAGTGACTTCCCAGGGTCTCCCTAGACTCCATCCCCTCCTCCACATGGGGCCAGGAGGTGAAGCGAGCAGCCTCCTAAACCCCTCTCTCCTTGGTCAAAGTGGCTGTTTTTGTGTTTGCTTATTTATGGGATTTCAAAAACCTGATTTTTTATTTTGAGTAGCTTCGGGCTTGTGTGTATTTGTATAGGCTTTATTAGAAAGAAAAGGGCTTAAGACAATAACATTTTTAAAATGTCTCAGTGGGGAATAGACTTCCATGTCATGAACGATATTGCTGACCTCCTTCTGCTGCCTTTGTGCAAAGTATAAATAGTGTGAGAAATGGCATGTGCTGGGTTGTGGTTTCAGTATGGGAGGGCAGTTCCTTAAGATGGAAACCAAGTCTCACTGAGCTGTAGAGCTGCACTCACCTTTTATCACATTCCCCACCATAGTCTTTCACTCTTCTTCTGTGCTTAAATTTCTTTCCACATACTTTATTTATTTATTTATTTTTAAGACAGAGTTGAGCTGTGTTACCCAGGCTGGAGTGCCATGGTGCAATCTTGGCTCACTGCAACCTCCGCCTCCCAGGTCCAAGCAATCCTCCTGCCTCAGTCTCCGAAGAGTTGGGATTACAGACGTGGGCCACCACGCTGGGCTAATTGTTGTAGGTTTAGTAGAGTAGGGGTTTCACCATGTTGGGCAGGCTGGTCTCGAACTCCTGACCTCATGGGATCTGCCCACCTTGGCCTCCCAAAATGCTGGGATTACAGGTGTGAGCCACCATGCCTGGCAAACATATATATTATTTTGATTATATATATAAGGTGTATATATACATATATATAGGGAATATATATGTGTATGTTTGTGTGTGTATATATGTGTATATATATGTGTGTGCGATTTTGTGTGTGTGTGTGTACACATAGAGGTCTCACTCTGTCACCCAGACTGGAGTGTAGTGGCTGAATGAAGGGTCACTGCAGCCTCAACCTCCAGTGATCCTTCTACCTCAGACTGTTGAGTAGCTGGGACTATAGGCATGCAACACCAAACAAGGTCAATTTTTAAAATTTTTGTAGAGACTGAGTCTCACTATATTGCCCAGACTGGTCTTGAACCCCTGGGCTTAAGCAATCATTCCACCATGGCTTTCCAAAGTGTTTCGATTACAGGTGTTAGCCATCAAACCCTGCCAACAATATTTTTTAAAGAACTGTTACAACCAAATTATGAGCTATAGTTGTGCCACTGCATTCCAGCCTGAGCACCAGAGTGAGACCTTGTCTCCAAAAACAAAACAAAACAAAACAAAAACTTATGACCAAATTAAAATTCTAAGGTTGTGTCCTCTGTGTCCCCTTCCTGCCCTGTAAGCTATCACTGTTAAATATTATGGGTATTGAGAAAACTGTTAGATATTATTAAGAAATTCCTATATATCCTCTAAGTGAGATAAGGTATTCTGATGTGACCCAATATTTCCTCACCCCTACCTCCAGAGTCTAAACTAGCAAATCAAATCAGGACACTCACAAAGAATAGCTGGTCATTTTCAATTAGAAAATTAAATACCCCCGTTCATGAGAGTAATCCAGTGATTTTAAAAAAGAGAAGCCAAACTGAAATGCAGTGTAGTCAGGGCACAATTACCCTGGAATAGCCACTTCACACGGAATGACTGAGGAGCCTTTTTTTCTTTCTTTTTTTTTTTTTTTTTGAGAGGGAGTCTTGCTCTGTTGCCCAGGCTGGAGTGCAGTGGCGCGGTCTCGGCTCACTGCAAGCTCTGCCTCCTAGGTTCATGCCATTCTCCTGCCTCAGCCTCCCAAGTAGCTGGGACAACAGGCGCCCGCCACCACGCCTGGCTAATTTTTTGTATTTTTAGTAGAGATGGGGTTTCACCGTGTTAGCCATGATGGTCTCGATCTCCTGACCTCGTGATCCGCCCGTCTCAGCCTCCCAAAGTGAGGAGCCTTTCTAAGATGAACAAATTTGGGTAACACAATTCTTTCTTTCCTTTTCTTTTTTCTTTTTTTTTTTTTT